TCCACATCCTCATCAGTATTTGTCTTAATTTGCATTTCCCTGATGACATATGATGTGGAGCACCTTTTCATGTGCTTATTGACAGTCCGTATACCTTCTATTGTGAGATGTCTATTAAAGTCTTTGGCCCATTTTTAAAAATCAGGTTGTTTGTTTTCTTAGTGTTGAATTTTAAGACTTCTTTGTATATTTTATGTTTTTTTTTAAGATGTGTATTTTGCAAATATTTTCTCCCAGTCTGTGGCTTGTCTTCCCATTCTCTTGACATTGTCTTTCACAGAGCAGAAAAATTTAATTTTCATTAAGTCTAGTGTATCAATTTTTCTTTCATGGACTGTGCCTTTGATGATGTATCTGAAAAGTTGTTGCCATGTCCATGGTCATCGTAGTTTTCTCCTGTGTTATCTTTCAAGAATTTTATAGTTTTGTGTTTTACATTTAGGTCTTTAATCCATTTTGAGTTAACTTTTGTGAAGGGTATAATGTTCGTGTCTAAATTCATATTTTGTGGATGTGGATGTCTAGTGTTCCAGCACCATTTGCTGAAAAGGCTATCTTTACTCCATTGTATTGCATTTGCTTCTTTGTCAAAGATCAGTTGAATCTATTTATGGGGGTCTATTTCTGGGTGCTCTATTCTGTTCCAATGATCTATTTATCTATTCGCTCACCAATACTGCACTGTCTTGATAACTATAGCTTTATAGTAAGTTTTGAAATTGGGTAGCCTCAATCTTCCCAGTTTGTTCTTCTCCTTCAATACTGTGTTGGCTATTTTGATAAATTTTAGATTCGGTTTCTTGATATTCAAATAATAACTTCCTTGGATTTTAATTGAAATTGCATTCAAATCATGTTGGGAAGAACTGATATCGTGATAACATTGAGTCTTCCTATCCATGAATATGAAAAATCTCTCCATTTATTTAGTTTTTCTTTGATTTTTCTCATCAGAGTTTTGTGGTTTATGTTTTTTTTTTATCCCAAGCATACACACCACAGGAGATTGAGATGATAAAGAAGTTTCCCATTCTTCTCATAGTCTAGTTGAATATGATTACTTCAGTAGCTTACATCCCAACTACCATGCATGCAATGCCCCCCCCCCCAAAAAAAGATACAAGGGCTTCCATAGTAACAATAAAAATTAAAAATTATATTCCTGATTCAATTTCATGTCCTCGAGGAAGTACTATTGAATAGAACTGTACATACAATCAACAGATATTATATTAGTCAACTGAGTAATATTGGAGTTAGAGGGATACCAGAGAATAAGCAGATAGGAGACATAGTCCATGCCTTCAAAGCTTATATAATCTAATTGAAGAGACTAATAATTATAGTGATGATGATTATTATTATCACTACTCTCATCATCTCTATCCATTACTACTGCTAATTTTAGAACACCTGCGATATGTTAGGTAGTAAAGCACTTGGCATGCATCATTCTCATTTATCTTTCAAACAACCCCATGACATAGGAACTATTTATGTCTCCATTTAATATATAACAGGTTTTGAAAGGTCACACATATTGTCTAAGGTCATACAGGATAGGTACTTTTAACCACTATGTTTTACTATCTCCAATGAACAATTAGAAAACAATGAAAAACTCAAATGGTATAGACCAGAAATGTTACTGAAATTTAAGAAATGAAGAGCTACTGTGGCTTAAGTAGGTAATAAAGGCTTCATAGAGAAGATAGGATTTGAAAGAATGAGATTTCTATAGAACTTGTCGTGAGTGATGGGTAGTTATTATAGAGATAAATAAGAGCGGGTAAGGTATCCCAGAAGCATAGATGACATAAACAAAGACATTGAAGTGTGTTATACATGCATGTGCATGTATATACTTCACAGTTGAGAGAGATATAATCAAGTCATCTTAGCACAAAGACTTTTATTTTAGGAAATTTTACTCCAACTATTGCTATTCATAGAAAAAAAAAAACTTTCCATGGTTTTTCTCCCACCTCCAAATATGCACTCCTGTTAATTGCACGCCCAAACACAACTCTGTTCTAACAGTAACTTGCTAACATCTATCACATGCTTTCAACCTGGCAATATCAGGGGTGATCCTTGGCCAGATAATTTATACAAGTGCTATTTTGGTCACTGGTCAAAACAAGCAAATGTAGATATCAAAAAACATTATTCTAAAATATTAGTTTTTATTATTCTCCTATGTTGCCTATGCCTCTTCTCCCACCTTAACAGAATCAGAATGATTGATGGCCCTAAGCATTCATTACTGCAGTCAGAAGGAACATTTCAGAACTGGCGATTTCTCCATAAGAACTCTTATATTCACACCAAATTTTCACTGCTCCTCTATGAAGGCATATAAGAAGGCTAGAAATACCCTCCTTGTAAATGTTACCAAGAAAACAAACATGGGGCATCAAATATCTTTGGGGTCAAGAGTTTATATAGTGATTATTAAGTTCACCCGGACTCCCAATACCAGCCGGAGGAGACAAGATTTTGGGGAATGTTATAGCTAGAAGGGACCTTTAGAGATTACTGAATCGCTACCCTGAATTTCTCTGATGGCTGCAAAAACACTCGCAGATGAAATAGTTAGGTTTAGAAGGACTGAGCCCCAATGCCAAAAATATTTTTTTTGCACAGTTTGGCTACTCATTGGCTTTGCAGTCCAGGAAAATATAAGAAAATCAGGAATTGTTCTCAATAAAGAATTTTGAGATGAAAGAATGGGAATTTACGATGTATGAAACCAGACAAATTTTGAACTAATTCGATGGGAGTGGAGAGAATGATCTAAATTATCAGATTTATAAAGGACAGTATTGTTATTTTCAAAATAATGAAAAGAATAATGAAAATAATGAAAGAGAAATACAAGAACTAGTCGATACCATCAGGAGAGAAAACATAACAATAATGAGCATTCCTGAAGGGGAGGAATGGAGCATGGATTAGAAAGCATTTTCAGAAAAATAGTTGACAAGGATTTCCCAAATCTAATAAAGGATCTGGAGCTTAGAATTCAGGAAGTCGACAGAACACCCAATTATCTCAACTCAAAAAGGACTTCTCCAAGACACATCGTATTAAAATTATCAAAAATCAATGACAAAGAAAGAATTCTCAGGGCAGCCAGGGAAAAGAAGATGGTAACTTATTAAAAAAAAAAAAACCATTAGATTGTTGTCGGATTTCTCAGCACAAACCATACAAGCTAGAAAAGTGTGGAGTCAAATATTCAAACTATTAAATGAAAGGAAGTACCAGCCAAGAATAATGTAACCAGCAAAGCTCTCCTTTAGATATGAAGGAGAAATAAAAACTTACCAGACATACAAAAATTGAAAGAATGTTCCACTACGAGGCCTGCATTACAGGAAATACTGAAAGAGTTTAGCTCATTAAAACAAAATGGCAAAAAAATATAGGTAACTAGAAGTAAGACAACTAGCAGGCAGATAGAAGCAGAGGAGAGCAACCCTTACTAAGTACAGGGAATTTCAAGCTTAAACAACAAGAGAATTGCTATAGCAAGATAGTAATGAAGGTTCAGCATACATAGGGACAAATTGAGACAACAATGACTGAAAAGAGGAGGATTCAAAGATCCAATTCACAAAACGGAGTGAAGATAAGGCACACCCAGAAGAAAATGACATATACACACACACACACACACACACACACACACATACACACACACACACATATATGTCATATACATATACATATAAGTTATATATATCTATATATAGTCATACATATCTACATATAGTTATATTTATATATTTTAATGGTAACCACACGCCAATGATTTATGTATATAATGTAAAACAAGAAGGAAGAAAGGGAAAAACCTCAAAACTCAACCCCCCCCCCAAAAAAAACAAAAAAACAGAAACACATGGACAAGGAAGCAATGAAAACACCGAGCTATGAGAGAGCAAAACATAAAATGGTTATAGGAAAACCTCATAGTTCAATAATCACCCTAAATGTAAATAGACCAAAATCACTAATAAAAAGGCACAGAGTTGCAGTTTGGAAAAAAGAATGAAACTCAATCATATGCCAGTTCCAGGAGAAACATCTCAGTTCCACAAACAAATATAGACTCAAAGTGAAAGGGTAGAAAATGATATTTCAAGCAAATGATATTCAGAGAAAAGCGGGAGTAGTAGTACTAATATCGGACAAAATAGACTTCAAAATAAAAAAAAAGGTAAAGAAAAATACTATAGATCACTTCATAATGATAAAAGGAATCATACACCAAGAAGATATAAATTTAATATCTAGGTTTCCAATTAGGGAGCCTTGTAATATATAAAACATTTACTACCAGAACTAAAGGGAGAAACACCAAAACGCTATTGTAGTAGGGGACCCAAATACCTCACTGATAGATATGAACAGATCATCCAAACAGAAAATCAATAAGGGAATAACATCCTTAAATGACACATTAGACCAACTGGACATAATTGACATTTAAAGAGCCTTTCATCCCAATATGCTCCTTATACATTCTTCTCTAGAGCACATGGAATCTTCTCAGAATTGACCACATACTGGGACACAGAGATAGCCTCAACATATATGAGGGTTGAAATCATACCAACTATATTTTCTATTCATTATGCTTTGAAGCTAGAGATCAACTGAAAAAAGAAAGTGGGAAGAACCACAAATACATGGAGATTAAACAACATACAACTGAAGAATAACTGGGTCAGAGTAGAAATAAAAAGAGAGATCAGAAATACATAGAAATGAATGATAATGATAGTACAACATATCAAAACTTTTGGGACACGGCAAAAGGTGTAATAAGAAGAAAGTTCTTTCATTACAGGCCTACTTCCAAAATGAAAGAACAAGCCCAAATAAACAACTTAATACTTCATCTTAAAAGAACTAGAAAAGGGAAAACTAATGAGGCCTAAAACCAGCAGGAGGAAATAAATAATGAAAATTAGAGCAGAATTAAACGAAAATGAAAACAAACAAACCAAAAAAAGCAATATAAAAAATTAATGCAACTAAGAGCTGTTTTTTTTTTTTGAGGTTAATAAAATTGACACATCCCTGGTTAGACTCACTAAAGAAATATGAAAAAAAAGACACAAATAAACAATATCAGGGTTGAAAGAGAAGAATATACCGCAGACATCACAGAAATACAAAGGATCAAACAAGAATACTGTGTAAAAGTATATAACGCCAAATTTAATAACCTGGAAGAAATGGACCAGGACTTAGAAAAATACAACCTTCCTAGACTGAATCAAGAAGATCTGAAAATCTAAATAGACAGATCAGCAGTATAGAAATTGAAACAATCATCAAAAACCTACTAAAAAGTAAAAGTTCAAGACCAGATGGCTTCACCAGTGAATTCTACCAAACATTCAAAGAAGATTTAATACCTGTTCTCCTCAAATCTTCCAACAAATAGAAGAGGAGGGAATACATCTGAACTCATTTTATGAGACCAATATTATGCTAATATCAAAACCTGGTAAAGATAACACAAAAAATGAAAACTTCAGACCAATATCTGTCATGAACACTGATGCAAAAATCCTAAATAAGATTCTAGTGAACTGAATACAGCAACATATTAAAAAGATTATACAGCACAATCAAGTGCATTTCATCCCAGGGGCACAAGGATGGTTCATCATATGCAAAGTGATTAATGTGACATGCCATGTAAACAATTAAAAAATAAGAATCATATGATCACATCAATGGATAGAGAAAAAGCCTTCGACAAGATACAGAATTCATTTATGATCAAAACCCTTAACAAAATTAGTATAGAAGCAAAGTACCTTTACATAATAAAGGCCAATAAAACAAAACCTCAGCCAATATTATACTTAACGGTGAAAAACTAAAAACCTTTCTCTAAGGTCAGGAACAAGACAAAGCTGGTTCACTATCGCCACTGCTATTCAATATAACATTAGGGGTCCTAGAGAGTCCAATCAGGCAAGAGAAAGATATAAAAGGCATTCAAATAGGAAATGAGGAAATCAAGCTGTCACTATTTTCAGATGACACAATTCTCTATATAGAAAACCCTAATGATCCCACAAGACACTACTAGAAACAATGAGCAAATACAGTAAAGTTTCTGGATACAAAAGCAACATTCAAAAATCCATAACTTTCCTATACTCTAATAATTAAATGTCAGAAAAAGAAGTGGAAAAAATAATTCCTTTTGGAATTGCAAAAAATTAAAAATTAAATATATAGGAATA